AACATGGTTCTAAAGAACAGAACATGTAAGTCATTATATCTATGCGTGTCCCCACAGGCCCAGTTCTGTATGATTTATATGCAATATGTAACCACACGGGGACGGTGAACATGGGCCACTACACAGCTTGCTGTTCAGATGAAAATGGATGGTGCTTCTACAATGACTCCAGGTGAGATTCACCTTGCACCCAAATAAATTTGTTTTAATATGCAATTCCCTGCTAAGTCCATGTCATAGAGAGTCTATTTGAAACCCCTACTGTATCTATGGGTCATCTGTGAAATTTCTTCTGTTCTGAATCTTCTGCTTAAACCTGGAGCTATTTCTCATAATTTCTCGCCATCTACCCACCTGCAGTGTCACTTCAGTCTCAGATAACCAGCTTCAGACCAATCAAGCCTATGTGCTGTTCTACCAGCGCAGCAACAGCACCACCACCACAACCGCCGTCAGGAAATAGACCTGAGACTGGCTGAGCAAGGCAGCCAATCAGAGCAACTTTACCTCCAGTGTCCATAGAAACAAATAGAAGCAGCAGCAATGGCATCTATGAACTTCTCAATGCACTCAAATGAACTCTGAGGAGGAGGAGAGGGAAGACATGCTCACTTTAAGGGGGCCAGAAGAGGTAATCTCCCCTACTGAATCATGGAGGTGCTTTATAAGAGTCTCAGTGTGAGAGCTGAGGCAGCTCAGACGGACTGCAGACTTAAGAGTCTCTGTGCCCTAGTCCTCAGGCAGGAGTGAGCGGTGTACTCTGAGCTCTGAATGCAAGATAATCGGGATTCATGCTTGCTAACATAAATAAAAATAAATCTTGGGTATAGAAAAAATTTAACATTTCATGACTCAATTGTGACATAGAACTTGACAAAGCTAAGTTTTGTGAAAATGTTCTTGAATTTAAGATGTAATTGTCCGTAGCCTACATACAGTAACTATGCTGTCTTTTTCTCCCTCCACATGGACTAATACACCTGAAACTTGAAACTCTTAAAATGAGTTATTTTTTCCTTCTGTATTATCATTTATATATAGTTGTTTTTTTTGTTTGTTTTTTTACATTTGTGTCTACTGCTATTGTACATATGGACAAATGACCCAACTGAATAAATTGCATTATTGATATTTGAAACTGTCAATACAAAAACAATGAAAAAGTGTGATGATTACTGTTGTTACACTGTTTCATACATTCAACTCATTTGTTAATAGGGAATAATAAAACCGTATTCATATATATATATTAAATCACGTGTATATTTTATACACGTAAAAGTAAAGATGCCGCAGCCTGCTGACGAATGTCATCCTTGCACATGCGTATGTGAGCAGTGGGCGGAGTTTACCAGTCGGTCAGGAAGAGGAGAAAGGCGGACACAGAAACATCAAGCGGTAATCATATTCAGTTTTGCGTTTAAACTTTAAGCCAGTTCCTGTTTCATTCAAATGAGTATCACAATAGTGTTGTGAATGCTGTAGTTGTAATTTCAGTGAGAATACCTTGAATGACAATAACCCATACCACGGGAAACACCATTAGCTTTCTTGCTAGCTAACGTTAGCTGGTTTGACAGGCCCGGACTAAAACACTGCACAGCCTTTATGCAGGAACGGGGGCACAGCACGGAAATGTTATACGTATACACCCTCTACCTCCGAGGCAGCCTCACTGTTTTCCAGCCTGGTCGTTTTGGTTTAGATTTATGTTGCACGTCATAATATTTTAAATGAAACTCTTCACATAAAAGGACGCGGGTCTGCTAGTGTTGCTATCGTTGTCTAAGACTGTAACATAATGTGCCAGCCAGTAGAACTGTTGTTGGAACATACCAAGCACTGTAAATGCTTTTTTAAAATCCATTCCTGTTTGTGCAACCGTAAACGATTGGTAAAATTATGCATGGGTGTAATTATTGATGGTGAGTAGTGACTTGTGGTAACCTAAAAGTATAACCTTGTTTTGGTCCCTTTTCCATAGATGGCTGCTATCAGGAAGAAGTTGGTGATAGTTGGGGATGGTGCGTGTGGGAAGACCTGTCTTCTCATCGTCTTCAGTAAGGACCAGTTCCCAGAGGTCTATGTCCCAACTGTGTTTGAGAACTATGTGGCAGACATTGAAGTGGATGGGAAACAGGTAAGCCTTAAAACAGGCTGCAAATGATGGTCTTTGGAGGGACCCTTGAAGAGACTATACAGGTGTCTAGCAAAATGAGTGATAATAGTTTTATTTAATATTGTGATTGCCTATCACATTGTCTGAATTTAAAATTCAAAGTAATTAGAGCTGCAACAATTGTTTTCATTAATGATGAATCTGTTGATAATTGTTTTGATTAGTTAATTGCTTGGTTTATAAAACATCACAAAATCAGTTACCAAGAGTCCAAGGTTGCATTCTCAAATCAAGGAGAGAGCCAGGAAAAATGCAACCTTGGACATCCTCCTTGTAGTAATCAGTTACTAAAGCCCCAGGTCATCAAATGTCTGGTTTTATTTGACCATCAGGACAAAACTCAAAGAGAAACAATTTATTATAATGCAGGATAGTAAAAAGCAGCACATTCTCACATTTGAAACCATCAACCCCCCCCCCCCCCCCAGTTAACTATTACAGGAGCCTAAGAAAAATAGCAAATTTCAGATTTGATGTGGTGGAACCAGTGAAATCTTTGGCACTTTGACGCTTTAAAAATTATTTCTTTAAAACTTACTACAATTAATCAATTATCAAAACAGTTGCTGATTTAATCTTCTGTATCTAATTGATTAATCATCTTGTTTCTTATCATTATCAAATCATGAAATTAATTAAATGTTCAAATGGCCTTTGCATATCCATTGTTTACCCATCTATCCTTACATATTTAAAGTCTATGCATGCAACCCTCTCTCTCTTTTCTCAGGTAGAGCTAGCACTTTGGGATACAGCAGGTCAGGAAGACTATGACAGACTGAGGCCTCTCTCCTACCCCGACACTGATGTTATCCTCATGTGCTTCTCTGTAGACAGCCCTGATAGTTTAGGTATTGTCTTTGCAACACTCACAGCACTATGTATCGAACAGCATGTGATTATGAAATTGATAAATGCTGCTAATTAATGCATTCTTTCCTCTCTACTCATTGTAGAGAATATTCCCGAGAAGTGGACACCTGAAGTGAAACACTTCTGTCCAAATGTTCCCATCATCCTGGTGGGCAATAAAAAAGATCTGCGTAATGACGAGCACACTAGACGAGAGCTTGCCAAAATGAAACAGGTCAGTTTTTTTGTTTCAAAACATGCTGGTATGTGCATGTTTGTTGGTATAAATGTTAAAATGTAAACCTTCTCTCTGATGCGTGTTTCCAGGAACCAGTTAAATATGAAGATGGCAAAGAGATGGCGAACCGCATCAGCGCCTATGGCTACCAAGAGTGTTCTGCCAAAACCAAAGATGGTGTGAGGGAAGTCTTTGAGATGGCAACTAGGGCAGCACTGCAGGCCAAGAAACGTTGCAAGAAGTCTTCCTGCCTTCTGTTATAGGCTCTCAGAGAAGAGGGAGTGGCCATTAAGCACAGATGGAGAAGGCTGCTTCCACTGATATTAAACATGGGGGGAATATTGGGGAGGGCCCTGAAAAGTTTTGCAGACATTCAATTTGTGAGCACCCGATTATCCTCAGCAAATTAAAGCTGGTCTTAAATGATTTGATAGGCTTTTACACCTTGGTCCTTGGTCTATAAATTAGGTTATGTGCCATTTTGCTTTAGTCTATCAAAAACTTTCAGATCTAGAAGCTTGTAGGGCAGGTGGTGGGGGTGATTTGAAGTTGATTAGATTTAAACTGGTTGAAATGTGCCATAATTGGAATGAAGAGAGAAGATGGTCTTAACAGGCCAAAGACAATGGGGACATGAGAAAGAAAGACAGAAAAAAGACATAAATATAAAATAGGTTTGAATTAAAACCATGTCTAAGTGGATTTTACACAGTATCGCCTACATGTAGTGCCTTGAGAGCAGTGGTCAAGAAGAGTAAGTTGTGGGGTTGGGATTCATAACTTCAGTAGGGTATTATTTTGTCCACACATCACATTCGTGAATGCTTTCTCCCTGTCATTGGCTTGGCTCCTTCAGGCCCATATTCTGACTCAGGCGCTATGCAGGGGTATGCCTAAACTAGATTGTATGAGATATTTTCCCATACTGAATCACTTACCTGTGCTTAAGGTTGTGTGTGTGTGTGTGTGTGTGTGTGTGTGTGTGTGTGTGTGTGTGTGTGTGCACGCACGCACGCGTGCAACTGTATGGTGGTTTCTTTACTCCAATGCAGGTTTGCATGCAGTGAATGTGTGTATTAACATATGTGTCTATGTACTGTATGCATAGAAAGGCCTTCTGCGTCACTGACCCTAAACCCTTGTTTCCATGCCAAAGTTACCCCTAATGGCCTCATTTTATGGCTCAGATGGGTAATGAAATTTAACAGCTACTCGGAGTGACATAGAAACC